TACGGAGTCTAGAAGTCGTTGGAACGTGGCGGGGGCGGAGTGCAGGCCGAACGGCATTACTTTGAAATGGAAGAGCCCCTTCCCGGGTACCGTAAATGCGGTGAGGGGTCGACTGGACGGCGTGAGCGGTATTTGCCAGTAACCGCTCTTCAGATCGAGTGTGGTAAGGTATTTCGCGCCGCGTAATTTATCGAGGGTGGCGGTAATCTGGGGCAGTGGGTAGGCGTCGGGCTCGGTCGCGTCGTTGACCCTCCGGAAATCTATACAAAATCGGTAGCTGCCGTCCTTTTTTCGAACCACGACTACGGGAGAGCTCCAGGCGCTGTGGGAGCGTTCGATTACCCCGTCTCGCTCCATTTTCTCGACTTCGCTGTCGATAACGGCCTGCATGGCCGGGTTACGGGGCCGGTATCTTTGTTTGATCGGACTGGCGGTCGGTTTCAGGCGGATCTCGTGCGCCGTGCGGTCGGTGGGCCCGCGGAGGGTTTCGAAAAGCGGTAACTCCTGCTCGAGGAATTTTCGTAACCGTATTTCCTCGGTCTGTGTGCGCGGTGCAATCCCTTCGGTCGCGGCCGTCCCGGGGGTGGTTTGCGGCGTTATCGGTTGGGCTGGCGCGGGCACTGCGAGCCCGATTTTTGCCCAAAAATCTACTCCGAGGAGTACGGCGCTCGCTAGGTTCGGCATGATTGAAAAGTCATGCCAGATCGTGCGTCTCGTGGTTTGGACGGGTAGCCGGACGCGGCCGGGGAGAACGATGCGGTGGCCGTTGGCCAGTTGCACCTCCTCTTTGTCGGGGACGGTCGCGAAGCCTAGGTTTTGTGCGAGTCGTGCGGTGTCCTCGTTTATGAATGATATTTCGGATCCTGTATCGAGTAGCGCCATAAGTGGTTTCCCGTTTACCTGGATGTCGAGGTGCGGCCGTGGAAAAAATTTTACGTCGAGGACCGGGGGGCGGCCGGGGTTTCCGCGGTCCCGGCGTCGTTTCCCGGCGGGGGATGGCAGTCCTTTGTGAGAACTCCGTCCTTGCCGCACTGAGAGCAGAATTTCCGCGCGGGTCGACGGCAATCGAATCGGGTGTGTCCACGTTGTTTGCACTTCCAGCAGCATTCCCGTCGGTTGTACGCGGCGGCGGCGATTGGCGTTTCGGCGGGATCGGCTTTCGTAGGAGCGCGTTTCTTTCGATTTTGCTGAAGCCTTTCGTATTCGCTGGCTCGCTGCTGGAGGTCGCGAGGGCTATTAACGTCGCCTCGCCAGATGCGGCTCTGGTAGTCGGGGTGCAGATTTTCGTATAATTGCTCGACCTGCTCCTCGGTGGAGTATCCCCCTGCCCGTCGCATGAGCGTGAGTAGGTGTGTCGCGTATTTCATGTAGGCCTCCCCGTCCCGCTGCGTACGGTCGCGGATCTCGTTAACGAGCTGTAATCGGTACCGGCGCGGTAGGAATGTTTCCTTAAAGTCCGCGATAAAGTCGTGCCAATCGAACCATCCGTCGCGGTTGTTACGGTACCAGAGGA